AACTACAAACCCTTATACTAATCTACTCTTATTAACCACAAACTATTATACTAATCTACTCTTATTAACTACAAACCCTTATACTAATCTACTCTTATTAACTACAAATCCTTATATTAATCTTTATTAATAACAACCTTTATATTGATCTTTATTAAATACAACCTCTTATGTTAACCTTTATTAATCGCAACCCCTATATTAATCTTTATTATATTCCGACCCCTTTATTTTAATCTTCCTTAACTATAATCCCTTATATTAACCTTTTATTAATTGCACCCTCTTATATTAATCTTTATTAATTGCAACCCCTTATTTTAATCTTTATTAAATACAACCCCTTATTTTAATCTTTCTTCAACCACTACCTCTTTTTACTAATCGTCTGCCCTGCCCTTATATAATCCCTATTTTTTTCTTTCTTATATCCTTATATTATCCAATTTATTTGCTATACAACCCTGATATTAACCTTAATTAATTGTAATCCCTCATTGTCTCCTATTCTTCCCTAATTATTCCCTTTTATATTACCCTATTCCTCCACTTTAAAACCCTTATGTAACCCTATTCCTCCATTCTAAAACCCTTATGTAACCCCATTCCTCCATTCTAAAACCCTTATGTTAATTTACCATCTATTAACCACAAATCCTTATATTAAACTTTATTAACCACATCCCCTTTGTTTAATCTACTTTTTACCAAATCCGTATATTAACCAATACTTTATTAATTACCCTTTTTTTATTAACCGACTTACTATTAATTAACAACCTCTTATATTAATCCATTTTTTTTTATTAATCCCTTTTCTTCTTCCCATTCTCTCTCGGTTAAACCCTTATAACCTCCCCTGATTTTATCTTTTATACCTGTATTTTAATTCCACTCTGATTTTACTTTGACCCAAATCTTACCAACTAATATCCTCCTTTACTATAACAAACCCTTTTTATTATTTTTATTCTTCCACCCTTGAACTCCTATACTATCCCTATTTTTTGTTAATTATATCCTTATATTACCCTGTACACCGTAAACTATAATCTATAATATTAATCCACCAATTATTAATCGCAATTTTGTATATTATCCTATACTTTATTAATTACAATTCCTTATACTATCTGATTTTATTTAATTAATTTTTATATTAAAAAAATCCCTATTTTTTTTTATTAAACCCTTATATTTTTATATCCTTCCTCTATTAAACCTTTTATATTATTTTATTCTTTAACGGTCAATCCCCCTATATCCTCCTGTTTTTTACTATTAAACCCTAATGTTATCCTATTCCTCTGCTGTTATTATCCCTATTTGTCCACTGTTAAATCCTTGTATTATTCCTATTTTTCCTTTGTTAAACCCTTTTTATATTATTCCAATTTTTCTCTGTTAAATCTGTATATTACCCTATTCCTCTGCCCTTAAATCCTTATATTACCTGATTTCTCTGCTTTTAAACCCTTATATTACCTGATTCCTGTGCTTTTAAACCCTTATGTTACCTAATTCCTCTGCTTTTAAACCCTTATGTTACCCTATTCCTCTGCCCTTGAACCCTTATATTGCCTAATTTCTCTACCTGAATCCCTTTATATTACTATATTCCTTAACACTTATCCCCTGATCTTGCCTGATTCCTCTGCCTGTAAACCCTTATATAATCCCTATTTTTTTCTCTATTAATCCCTTATATAATTCTAATTTATTCTTTTGCAACAATGTTATAAAACTAATCTAGTTTAAATTATAATTTAAATTCCTGCTTAATTAATCCCTTTTTTTTTCTCCCTATTCTTTATATATTATCCACTTGAACCTTTTTTTTTTTAATCCCCGCCTTTATTATAACCACCTCTAATATAATCCCTATTTAACCCTGGTTAATATACTTAATTTTTTTGCTATTAAACCCTAACTTTAACCCACACTTATAAATTATATTCCTAAATCCAATCCCGATTCTTCCTTGATTAATCCCTTTATATTAATTAGTTATCTTGTTATATTAATTTAATTAATAATCTCGCCCTTATTTACTCCCCTGATTTTTCTGATTAATCTATTTTATTAATTATTCCTAATCTCTAGTACTTTTTTTTTTTTTATTAAAACCCTGATCCCTTTACTAATTTTTTTTTTTTTTATTATTAAAAACCTGTACCTTGTCCTAATTTTATTTTTACTAAACCCTTATATTCTCCTCTTTTCTCTGTTAAACTATTATTATCTCCCTATTCTACCTTTTATTAAACCCTTATATGTTACCCCATTCCTCTACTCTTAAATCCTAATATTGCCCTATTCCTCTATTTATAAACCTAATATTACCTAACTTTTTTTTATATAAAATCCTTTATATTACCGAACTTTTTACTTGTAAACCCTTATATTCTCCCCCTTTTTATTATTAAATAATTATCTTCTCCTAATTTTTCCTTTTATTAAACCCTTTATATTACCCTGTTCCTCTGCCCTTAAACCCTTATGTTACCCCGTTCCTCTGCCCTTAAACCCTTATGTGATCCTATTCCTCTGTTAATCCCTTTATATAATTCCTATTTATTTTTATTATAACTTTATAAAACACGAATCGTATCCCTATTATTACTTGTTTAAAAATAAATCTTAAAATATTTAAATACTTTGTATAAATATTAACCCTTTTAAACTATAATACTAATTAACAATCCCCTATATTTACATGGAACCCTTTAATTACTATTTAACCACTTATTAATTAACATATTTAATTATATATATAACTATGTAATTTACTACTTTTTAACTATTACAAAACTACTTATAAACTACTTTAAAACTGCTTGTTAACTACTTATAAGCTTTTAATTCCTTGGTAACCTGCTGAACTGGTTGGAAACTAGTTTGGAACCATTTTTGGTTGCCTATTATATTATTTCTATGCTGCATGCTTCCCTCCTGGTATATATATCCCCCTAGTATATACTTTGCATATGCTCCCTATATTATATATATTTACTATACTACTTGTTATTTTAATACTGTATACTTCCCCCTGGTGGTGCCTGCCCCCGGTACATGCCTCCCCCGGTACATGCCTCCCCCGGTACATGCCTCCCCCGGTACATGCCTCCCCCGGTACATGCCTCCCCCCTGGTATATACCTCCCCCGGTGCGTACCTCCCACTGATATATACCTCTCCTTAGTACGCATTTCACCCCCGGTACACGTGTTAACTGCTATATGCCTTCCCCAGTGCGTACCTCCCCTCGGTACGTGCCTTCCCCTGGTATGTATCTCTTCCCAGTGTGTATCTCCCCTGGTACATGCCTTCCCCTGGTGCGTATCTTCCCCTTATATGTGTACCTCCCCCCAGTGCATATTTTCCCCCGGTGCGTATCTCCCCCCTGGTATATACCTTTTCCCCTAATACATGCCTCTTCCCGGTACATGCCTCCCCTAGTATATGCCTCCCCCCCCGGTGCGTATCTCCCCGGTGTGTATTTCCCCTGGTATGTATCCTTTCCCTAGTACATGCCTTTCCTAGTGCGTGTTTACCTCGGTGCGTGTTTACCTCGGTACATGTTTACCCTGGGTATATACCTTTTTCTAGTGCGTACCTCCCCCTAATACATACCTCCCCCGGTGTGTTTTACCCCGGTGCGTGTTTGCCCTGGCACGTGTTTGCCCCCGGCACGTGTTTGCCCCGGCACGTGTTTGCCCCCGGCACGTGTTTGCCCCGGCACGTGTTTGCCCCGGCACGTGTTTACCCCGGCACGTGTTTACCGCGGTGCGTGTTTCCCCGGCACGTGTTTACCCCGGTGCGTGTTTCCCCGGTGCGTGTTTGCCCCGGCACATGTTTACCCCGGCACGTGTTTGCCCCGGCACGTGTTTACCCCGGCACGTGTTTACCCCGGTGCGTGTTTCCCCGGCACGTGTTTACCCCGGTGCGTGTTTCCCCGGTGCGTGTTTGCCCCGGTGCGTGTTTGCGCCGGCACGTGTTTACCCTGGTATATGTTTGCCCCGGCACGTGTTTCCTCCGGTGCGTGTTTGCCCCAGTGCGTGTTTACCCCGGTACATACCTATTCTTGGTGTGCCCTCTCCCCGGACTATATCTCCCCTGGTATATATATTCCCTTGCTACATATACTCTATATATACTTAAAACACTGCGTGTGTACATCCCCTAGTATATATACTTTGTATTTGTTTACTTTAATATATGCGTCCCCTGGTACATGCCTCCCCGGTGCGTGTTTACCCTGGTACGTGCCTTCCCCTGGTGCGTACCTCCCCTGGTATATGTCTCCCCGGTGCGTACCTCTCCTTGGTATATATTTCCCCCGGTACATATATTAACTGCTATATGCCTTCCCCTGGTCCATGCCTCCCTATAATATATGCCTTTCCCCAGTCCGTACCTCCCCTCGGTACGTGCCTCCCACTATTATATATCTCTTTCCCGGTGCGTACTTCCCCGGTGCGTGCCTTCCCCTAGTGTGTATCCTTTCCCGGTACATATATCTCCCCCGGTGTGTTCTCCCCGGTGCGTTCTCCCCCCAGTGTTCCCCCCCCGGTGCGTACCTCCCGCTGGTATATACTTTTACCCCGGTGTAAACTTTTACCCCGGTGTATACTTTACCCCGGTGTGTGTGTTTACTGGTGCGTACCTTCCCCTAGTACATCCCTTCCCCTAGTACATCCCTTCCCCGGTGCGTACCTCCCCCGGTGTGTATCTCCCCCGGCATGTGGCTCCCCCTGGTGTATATCTCCCCCCCGGTATATACCTCCTGCGGTATATACCTCCCCTGGTGTATATATTCCCTTGCTACTTATACTCTGCATATGCTTAAAACACTGCCTGTGTATATCCCCTAGTATATATACTTTGCGTTTGTTTACTTTAATATATGTCCCCTGGTATATATTTACCCCTGGTGCATGTTTACCCCGGTGAGTCTTTGCCCTGGTAAGTCTTTACCCCGGTGTGTATCTCCCCTGGTACATGTCTCCCCTAGTGCGTGTTTACCCCGGTGCGTGTTTGCCCTGGTGCGTGTTTACCCCGGTAAGTCTTTGCCCCGGTGCGTACCTCCCCCTGGTACATGCCTCCCCCGGTGCGTGCTTCCCCCGGTGCGTACCTCCCCCGGTGCGTATCTCCCCCGGTGCGTATCTCCCCCGGTGCGTACCTCCCCCGGTGCGTACCCCCCCGGTGCGTACCTCCCCCGGTGCGTACCTCCCCCGGTGCGTACCTTCCCCTCGGTGTGTACCTCCCCTCGGTGCGTACCTTCCCCGGTGCGTGTGCCTCCCCCCTGGCATATACCTCCCCGGTACATGGCTCCCCCCTGGTGCGTAACTCCCCCCGGTGCGTACCTCCCCCCGGTGTATATCTCCCCCGGGTACATACCTCCCTCGGTGCGTGTGTCCACTGGTATATGCCTCTCCCCTGGTACATGCCTTCCCCCAGTGCGTACCTCCCCCTGGTATATGCCTCCACTCGGTGCGTACCTCCCACCGGTGCGTGTTTGCCCCGGTGCGTGTTTACCCCCGGTGTGTACCTCCCCCCTGGTACATGCCTTCCCCGGTACGTATCTCCCCTGGTACATACTTCCCCGGTGCGTGTTTACCCCGGTAAGTCTTTGCCCCGGTGCGTACCTCCCCCCTGGTACATGCCTCCCCCGGTGCGTGTTTACCCCGGTGCATGCTTCCCCGGTGCGTGTTTACCCTGGTATGTGTTTACCCCGGTGCATGTTTACACCAGTATATACCTACCCTTGGTGTGTCCCTCTCCCCGGACTGTATCTCCCCCGGTGCATACCTCCCCTAGTGTGTACCTCCCCCGGTGCGTACCTCCCCGGTGCGTATCTCCTACTAGTATATATTTATTCTTAATACACATTTCACCCCCGGTACACGTGTTAACTGCTATATGCCTTCCCCAGTGCGTACCTCCCCTTAGTTCATACCTTTCCCTGGTGCGTATCTCCCCTGGTGTGTATTTTTTTCCCGGTATATATATCCCCCGGTGTGTCCTTCCCCCCAGTGTATTCTCCCCCAGTGTGTACCTCCCCCGGTGCATACTTTTACCCTGGTGCAAACTTCACCCTGGTGTATACTTTACCCCGGTGCGTGTATTAACTAGTACATACCTTTTCCTAGTATATGCCTTCCTCCGGTGCATACCTCCCCCTCGTGTATACCTCCCCCCCCGGTGCGTGTTCACCCCGGTGCGTGTTTACCCCGGTGCGTACCTCCCCGGGTATATGCCTTGCCCTGGTATTCGCCTCCCCCGGTGCGTACCTCCCTCTGGTGTGTATCTCTCCCCGGCACGTGGCTTCCCCTGGTGTATGCCTCCCCTGGTGTATACCTCCTCCGGTGTGTGCCTCCCCCGGGTGTGTATTACCCCTGGTGTGTGTATTTCCTTGCTATATATACTCTGCATATGCTAAAAACACTGCCTGTGTATATTCCCTGGTATATATAGTTTGCGTTTATTTACTTTAATATATGCGTCACCCGGTACATGTTTACCCCGGTGCGTACCTCCCCTGGTATATACCTCCCCCTAGTGCGTACCTCCCCCGGTGTATCTATCTTCCCCGGCACGTGGCTCCCTCTGGTGTATGTCTCCCCGGTGTATACCTCCTCCGGTATGTGCCTCTCCCGGGTGTGTATTACCCCCCGTGTGTGTATTTCCTTGCTATATATACTCTGTATATGCTTAAAACACTGCCTGTGTATATTCCCTGGTATATATAGTTTGCGTTTATTCACTTTAATATATGCGTCACCCGGTACATGTTTACCCCGGTTTATGTTTACCCCGGTGCGTGTTTGCCCCGGTGCGTGTTTGCCCTGGTGTGTACCTCCCCTGGTACATGCCTCCCCCGGTGCGTGTTTACCCCGGTGCGTGTTTGCCCCGGTGCGTACCTCCCCCGGTGCGTACCTCCCCCGGTGCGTACCTCCCCCGGTGCGTACCTCCCCCCGGTGCGTACCTCCCCGGTGCGTATCTCCCCCAGTGTGTACCTCGCGCTGGTGTATACTTTACCCCGGTGCGTTTTACCCCGGTGCGTACCTCCCCCTGGTACATGCCTCCCCCGGTGCGTGTTTGCCCCGGTGCGTCTTTACCCCGGTGCGTACCTCCCCTGGTATATGCCTCCCCGGTGCGTGTTTGCCCCGGTGCGTCTTTACCCCGGTGCGTGTTTACCCTGGTATGTGTTTACCCCGGTGTATACCTCCCCCAGTATATATCCTTTCCTGGTACATATATCCCCCCGGTGCGTCCTCCCCCCCCGGTGCGTATCTCCCCCAGTGTATATTCTTTTTCCCGATACATGTGTCCCCCCGGTGCGTCCTCCCCCCTGGTATATAGCTCCTGCTAGTGTGTATCTCCCCAGTTCGTGTGTTTACTAGTATATACCTACCCCTGGTACATGCCTCCCCTTGGTGCATGCCTGCCCCGGTGCGTATCTCCCCGGTGTGTGTATCTGCCCCTGGTATGTATTTCCCCGGCACATGGCTCCCCCTGGTATATGCCTCCCCCTGGTACGTGGCTCCCCCTGGTGCGCACCTCCCCGGTGTGTGTGTGTGTCTCTCCCCGGTGTGTATATCTCCCCCTGTGTATATACCTCCCCTTAGTATATATCTCCCCCCGGTGCATACCTGCCCCTGGTGCGTACCTCCCCTGGTATATATTTTTTCCCGGTATATATATCCCCCGGTGCGTGTTTACCCTGGTGCGTGTTTATCCCGGTACGTGTTTACCTTTGGTACATGCTTTCCCCGGTGCGTACCTCCCCTGGTATATATACCTCCCCCGGTGCGTACCTCCCCCACCGGTGTATACCTCTCCTTGGTACGTATTTCACCCCCGGTACACGTGTTAACTGCTATATGCCTTCCCCTAGTGCGTACCTCCCCCGGGTATATGCCTTGCCCTGGTATACACCTCCCCCCGGTGCGTACCTCCCCTGGTACATGCCTTCCCCGGTGTGTACCTTCCCTCGGTGCATATCTCCCCTGTTGTGTGTGTGTACCCTAGTATATATATATTCCCTGGCATATATAATTTTAGTATATATATCCCCTGTCCCCTAGTACATGCGTCCCCTGGTATATATATCCCTGGTGTATATACTTAGCATGTGCTCCCTTTTACTTTATACACCTCCCTGCGTGTATATATTTTTACGTGTGCTTTTTCTAATACATGCCTTTTTTATACTTTATACCTTCCTCTAGTATATATTTTTTTTACTACTATATACCTCCCCCAGCGCATACCTTCCCCAGTGCGTACCTCCCCCGGTGCGTATTTTTCCTGGTATATATCTCCCCGGGTGCATACCTGCCCCTGGTATGTACCTCCCCCCCGGTGCGTGTGCCTCCCCCGGTGCGTGTGCCTCCCCTGGTATATATCTCCCCCGTACATGGCTCCCCCTGGTACGTAACTCCCCCGGTGCGTACCTCCCCTGGTACGTGGCTCCCGCTGGTGCGTATCTCTCTGCGGTGACTATGTTCCCCTAATACATATTTACACTAGTACATGCCTCCCCCGTGTGTACATACCTCCCCCGGTGTGTATACCTCCCCCGGTGTGCATACCCCCCGGTGTGTATACATCCCCTTGGTGTGTTACCTCCCCACAGTGTGTGTACCTCCTCCTAGTATACATATCTCCCCCGCTGCATATCTACCCCCCCAGTGTATATCTCCCCGGGTATATACCCCCTCGGTGCGTGTGTTTACTAGTATATACCTCTCCCTGGTATATGCCTTCCACCGGTGCGTACCTCCCCCTGGTATATGCCTCCCCCGGTGCGTACCTTCCACCAGTGCGTGTTTACCCTGGTGCGTCTTTGCCCTGGTGTGTGTTTACCCCGGTGCGCCTTTGCCCTAGTACATGCCTTCCCCCGGTGTGTACCTCCCCGGTGCGTACCTCCCCCTGACATACCTCCCCCGGTGCGTACCTCCCCCGGTGCGTACCTCCCCCTGGTCCGTGCCTTCTCCCGGTGCATGCCTTCTCCCGGTGCATACCTCCACCTAGTATATATACTTTGCGTTTGTTTACTTTAATATATGCGTCCCCTGATATATATTTGCCCCGGTGCGTGTTTACCCCCGGTGCGTGTTTGCCCTGGTGTGTGTTTACCCCGGTGTGTTTTTGCCCCGGTACGTACCTCCCCTGGTACATGCCTCCCCCATTGCATGTTTGCCCCGGTGCGTGTTTGCCCTGGTGCGTCTTTGCCCCGGTGCGTGTTTCCCCGGTGCGTGTTTACCCCGGTACATGCCTTCCCCGGTGCGTACCTCCCCCGGTGCGTACCTCCCCCCCGGTGCGTGCCTCCTCCTGGTGCATGCCTTCTCCCGGTGCGTACCTCCCCTAGTATATATCCTTTTACGGTACATGCCTCGCGGTGCGTACCTCCCCTAGTATGTATCCTTTCCTGGTATATTTATCCCCCCAGTGCGTCCTTCCCCGGTGCGTACCTTCTCTTGGTTCCCTGGTATATACCTCTGCCTAGTACGTGTGTCCACCGCTGTTTATATCCCTATATTATATATGCTCTGCATGTGCTCCTATATTATATACACTTATTAGTCTAAATAACAATTATAAATATATTACTGTTCTTGCTACACTGTATACTAACTAGTTATACCACAAACCCCGTGGATCCCTCCAATTCTTTGCAGATCTGCCATAGCCAGCAAAATAATGCGAATAACTGGCTGTGCTGGCCTTTGGCTCCCTCCGTGGCCTGCCCCAAAACTGCAACACTTGCATGGTGTTGTTTGCGTCCACCCCGTGCTGCTGCAACCGGCGCTGCCATAGTGGCTGGATCTGCTCCTCCCACGGGCCGTACAGTATTACAGCTGTCATGGGGACCAATATATCCTTATATACACACTCGGTTTGTGTTGGATGGCCATCTAGTACCTCCCATCGTCGACAGATCGTCTGCGGCATATAACAGCGGTAACAAGCGGTATATCTAGCGAATGGAATCTTATACTGGCGAACTAGATTAACCCATGCCTTGGCTTTGTCGCTTTTGGGCCCACGACAAAAGTATAACTCGTGTTCGTTCCGTTCCCGTCCTGCAATGGTGCAAATATAGCACTTTTTCTGCCATGGTGCTATCTCGTTTTCAATAGTTTCCTCGTCCAACCACTGCCGTGCATCTTGCACCTGGTGTTGAATACGGGCGCTGCATGGCGCTGGTCTTGCACCCGTTGGCGCTGGCGTTCGGCGATACTAACCGTGGGCGTGGGATTGGGGGCGATATTTTGCGTGCTCTGTGGTATAACATGCGATATTACTTGAGTTTCAAATGATTCTGTACTGTCATGGGATTGGGACCGGCGTGTGGGATTTGGCGCGATATTCTGCGTGCTCTGTGGTATAATATGCGATAATGGAAATAATTCGCCACTACCATGGGAATGGGGACTGCCCGTAGCGCTAATCTCGCGTGGTGGGCTTGTCGTGCTGGCGAGATCGTCCATGCGGGTGTCCGGGGAATATCTGTCCGGGGACATGCAAACCGACTCCTGCGCGAGCCAATCGGCGTCACAGCCGTCACAGAGTGCCTCGGTGGAATCAATATCCTGACAGTATCGGCGCGTATAGCCATTCACTGTTTCGTCCATGTACGCGTCCAATACAAACCGTCGACATCCCACCCCGGGCGCCACCCCGAGGTACTCGTCCACCAACTCGCGATCCGCCACGGCCTCTGGCGTCTCCGGCGTGGGCTCGTCCCAGCCCTCGGGCTGGATAATAATCGCCTCGCTGCGCTGGCTATCCCGTCCGGCTCGCCCACTTTCCTGCCCGTACTCCAACAACGACCGCGGTGTTCCAATATGGATAATACTGCGAATATCGGGGATATCCACACCCATGCCCAATGCACTGGTGGCGGTAATTACTCGCGCCTCGCCCCGGGTAAATCGCTGTAATATAGATGGCTTGTCAACCTGCTTGCTGTAGTACGCCTCGCACGCTAACTCGCGTGCAATCTCCACTACCTGACGGACCACATGGCCGTATACCACCACCTTGCCATCCTTGGCGCGCTGGATTCGCTCGCGGATAAACGCGAGCACCGGCTCGCTGGTAAACCACTGCATGGAACGCCGACCCAGCTCGGGCCGCCACACGCGATACGCCACGTTGGGACGGCTTGTCCGGTCCCGAAATATATGGACTTGCTCGCGGGAATACTCCATGCGCCGGAATAACTTCGCCTCCAACCGCGGCGGCAACGTGGCAGTTAATAACACCATCTGGGTTCGCGCGTGGTTCAACCGCCCCAGCTGTCGCAACTCGGGTCGGAAATCCGTTTGGTCGTTTAATATCACATGGCATTCGTCGATCACGATCCGGTCTAACCGGCGTGTTTGCTGCAACCGGTTAATAAACGTTTGAAAATCCTCCTGCACCGCGGATTCCGGTGTGACCAGTACAATTGTCGCTTCGTCCGGTGGCCGTCGACTATCCCATTCAATGCAGGATATACCCAACTCGCGACAGCGCCGCACCATATCGTTCCGCAATGATATTAATGGCACGACCACAATGGTAGTAGTACCACTGGGCTCGGCGAATGCAGGTAACATAAACAACATGCTTTTTCCCTCCGGTGCGCATAATGGCGACCACCGGGCTCTTGCCGTCCTGAATGGCGCGCAACGCCGGTGCTTGGACGCCCCGGAACTGGATATCCTCTTGCCCGGTCATGTGCTGCAACGTGGTGCGCATATCTGCGATATTTAACCGGTGACGTCGGACCACTCGGCCCTCCTCGGCTTCGTCCTCCCATGGTGATCTCTTGCGCTTCCCCAACGGGCTGGGCTCCGCGGCGGATGCAAACCCCAAAACCGGTGCCAATCGGTGCTGGAGAGTCGAAACATTGCACGGCGATGTGCCGTGGTCCCGGGCTGCTCCATAATACCACGGCCGTACACTCCACCCGCCAATTGGGATGAATGCGCCGCCTGCAAGTCTGCAATATGGCCTAACCACTGCTCCTCGTCCATACCCTCCTCGGTGTCGGCGTTTAACACAGCCTGCGCCAAGTCTCTCTCCTCCTGCATGTTGCTGGCAAACGCGGCAGTGGGTCGCAAAAATCGTCGGCTAATCCCAATGGCGATATCCCGATACCACTGGATATTAATGGCTTCTTTTAACCGGGTCTTGGTTTCGCGCTTTAACACCTCCCGGAACCGCTCGGACGTCCATTTGCGCCGGGTTCCGGGGTCGGGGCCCCATAAAACGCATCTTCGCGGATCTGCGCTGCGTGCGTGCCCTGCGCTGTGGTGCCCTGCGCTGCGTGCGTGCCCTGCGCTGTGGTGCCCTGCGCTGCGTGCGTGCCCTGCGCTGCGTGCGTGCCCCTGCGATGTGTACGTGCCCTGCGTTGCGTGCGTGCCCTGCGTTGCGTCCATGCCCTGTGCCGTGGTGCCCTGCGCTGCGTACGTGCCCTGCGATGTGTACGTGCCCTGCGTTGCGTGAGCGCCCTGCACCGTGGTGCCCTGCGCTGTGGTGGTGCTTTGCGCTGTGGTGGTGCTTTGCGCTGTGGTGGTGCCCTGTACTGCGCGTATTCCCTGCGTGCCCTGCGTTGCGTTCGTGCCCTGCGCTGTGGTGGTGCCCTGCACTGCGTGCGTTCCCTGCGTTGCGTGCATGCCCTGCGCCGTGGTGCCCTGCGTCTGCTTCGCATGCCATGCGCTTAGTTGCTGCACAAATGGTAATACCAACCATAAATACCACACAATTAATTCACCCACCTCCCGTGGCACAAATCGATGAATGATCTTTATATCGTTACTCGCGTAAAACCCCTTGTGGTACGCCGTCACCAACGCCACCATCCCGTCCTCGATATAGATATTGCGCTGTCGATTCGCCACGGTATTCACATGTTGAATACTTAATAACTCGGGTGCGCGAGCCGGCTGGCCGGATACCACGTGAACAAGCACTGCTAATTTCTCCTTAAATCGCGCCACGCGCTCCAGATACTGCGCCACCTTCGGCATGTGCAGCCGTCGGGCTTGGCGCCGGACGGTAAACTCCTTCTGCACGGCCGGCTCGGCCCGCAACCGGCCGATCATCCACTTGGGCCCCACCGGCCATTGCGTGCGCTGATCCCGCAAAAATTCCATCCCACCGTGGCCTGCGTGGGGTCGTCGTAGATCGCGTGCCATGGAATACTGGGAATGTCTTCCCGCGCTGTCACGCACAGTATGTCGCACAATATCTGGCGTGTGGCCCCGACCAATCCATGGACAAATCCGCGGAAATCGCCCATGGTAAATGTGATATGCTTGTATCCGAGCTCGTCGCCATGGTTCCATGTAATGTGCCCGGGCGCCGTGGTATTATAATGGATCTTTAACCCGTACGTGCGCCAATCCTGCAACGTTTGTATTGGACTGTGGGTGCCACGCACCATAAACCGCTGCACCATCCACTCCACGTGCTCCTGGAATGTTTTCCCGCGATTCTGCCGGCGGATATTCACTATCGGTTGGGGATTACTGCTGGTAATGGGCGATGTGGGGGCGATGATGGGATGCCTTGCTCTGGTTGACTGTAATATCCCTCGTCCGAATAAATATCCTCCAGCTCGTCGTCGGCGCTGGCGAGCACCCACTGCGCGCAGTTACTCTTCTTCTGCCACACCGCGATAATCTCCTCGGGATTCGGATCCAACCAAAGCGCTTTCTGGACAATTATAAAGCGCGCCACCTTGATCACACGCGATAAGATCGGGGATAACTCTCCGGGCCCCGCCATCTGTCCCGGCCCCATCCCAACACGGCCATGGCACATACAAGCACGCTCTCGTACTCATGGCTACGCTGCTTTTGGTTTAGCAACTCGATGCAAAACTCCAAACACGCGCCTTCGATCGGGGTCATGCGCCACGCTGCGTCGTCGTCCTGCGGCTCGCCGGGAATATCCCGGTGGGTAGTGGCGAGGTGCCATAACTGCCGCCATTTCTTGCGCTGCCGTGCTGTCATCCCGTACGGGGACTCGTCCATCCGTGTGGCGCCTGGGTGCGCGCGATAAACGCTAGGATTTGCTGCCATGGCTGCATATGCTTAACCACGCTCTCGGTATCCATATACGCCTGCAACGGTCGATATGGTGTTTGACCCTTTTCAGATCGGATGGCTTCAATGCAGATTGCCTGGCCGCTGTGCTGGACCACGCGCTGGCTCTTGCGCACGACCTGCTCCATGGCGGCCCAAATGTGGCGCACGCCCTGCTCCACGGGATCTGTGGGCTCTTCCTCGGGCGGCGCCACGCTGTCGGTTAGATCCTTTGGTGCGATTCCTTCTAAATACTCGGACCACCGGGTCATGCGCAGCCATGGGTTGGCGTCGGTAATATCAGATGCCTGAATTGTACTCGGCGTGGACTGCGCCTCCTTCCACGCGTTCTCTAGCTCCTGGACAGCAACCTGGATATCATCTGTGGGGATCGCCGGTTCGTCGTTCTCATTTGGATTGCGGATGTGAATATAATGCGATCCTTTGCGCGATGGGAATATCTGCTGGCATGTCACAGATATAAAGGATCGCTGCAGCTCAGCATCTGCACGCACGCGCTCGTCACGGCTTACTCGACCACCATGCGGATACTGGGACCATCCATGGGTGGTGCGCCAGTGCTTTCGCATATTCTCAATTGTTCTTCCTATGTACTGACAGCCCGGGGAATCCCGCCGACATAATAAACCATCAGGTTGTACGGGTATTCCAACCAACGCCTGGTCCAACTGATGGGGAAAATTAACCTGATCGGGGAATGCGCAATATCCTCCCATTGCATTACCTTCTCGCTAATCTGGACAGCATCGGCGTGTGGGATTTGATGGGCGCGATTTTTAAATGGCGGAGAACCTCGGGGGCCACACCCATGCTGGCATTGCTTGCAAATAATAACAGGTAACATATCAAGCTTCTCGAATATCTGGTGCTCCATGGCCGAAATTAAATTGTTTATTTAAACGCGATCGTATAACTGCAGTTGGGTGTGTTTACCTCTTTCCTAAATAATCCTGCAACCTGGCAAGTTTGGTGGTTATGTAATAACGGCTCGGTCGGCTGTGATACCCCAACAAAATAATTAAGTCGAATAATAAACATCGACCACCACCACAGTATTATATAACGGAATTTCAAGCTCCCATTTTGCCAAGTTACTTTTATAGGTGTCCTGCATCTACTATAAAAATTTAAGCTATGGTGGATTATGGGTTGTCGAGCTACCCTACGTTTATAATTTGGAACGACTATATGTTAACGAGAATTCTGCTAGCCAATCAGCGCACGATCCTCGCCCCACTGTTATCCGACCCTAACCAGACTCTACCAACATCCGCCCCAGGCCTGTGGAATAGGGGTGAGATTTTTTCCTGCGTTTTACTCCACCAAAACAGGAAGCTTGGACTGCCCTGTAGAATTCACTAGTAGAAAGCCTAAGCTTACTTGCAAGAAGAAACTGTGAGCTGTATCCCCAGTACTACGGCTCCTAGCAATATCTTTCTAAAGCTGTTTAGCTTAGATAGGTATAGGAAAACTGGTGCTGGACCAGAGATATAGGGAACAGTAGAGTTGAGCTAGTACGCTTACGCTGGTTTTTCGAAGCTTCCCTTTAAAAGCTTTTGTGGTTTAGAGATTCCCTTTAAAATCTCTACTTACTAGCTAGATCCCTAGCTAGTAAAGTTTTAGGATCCTACCTGGTTTACTTTTCTACCTGTTTATTTCTTTTTTTTTTTTTTCTTTTTATTTTCCCTTGTCTATCAGAGAGAAGAATGGGGTCTTTTGAAGACCCAACCACCCCACCTAGGGACTCGTCACCCAACCCATCGCAGCCACCAAGCCCTAAAAAAGGGACCAAAGGCAAAAGAAAACACTCGTTCATCAGCCCAAAGGCAAGACTTGAGTTTAGGCCTGATTCCAATTCTCCTCCTGAGAGCCCTAATTCCTTTGCGTCATTAAGTCAAATGTCTGAAGATGAAGAGGTGCTCCTTAATAAAAAAGAGATGGAAAAAGCTTTGCAAAAACAAATAGAAAGTGATGCCAAACAAAGTTATATCCAAAAACTTGAGTCTGCAAAGATCTTACTGCAAGAGATCCACCATAGTTTAGCAAATGCTAAGATCCTTGAAGCTCTAGATATGCATCTGGAGGGCCTCTCAGCTATCCAAGACAAATTGCAAAATCCGGAAGCTAAAGGATCCCTGCTTTCCAAAGACAATCAACTTCAAAAACTCCAGAAAGAGGTTAACGCTATTAATCAAAAACTTGATAAAATAGCCCTAGCCTCTTCTCAACCAAAGCAAAACCAGTAAAGCCTTCATACGCAGCAGCAGTCCAAAAAGGAATAAAACCGCAAGTAGTTATCCCAACCAAGAAACAAGATCAGCCAAAACGGGTAGAACAGGCCGCCTACAAAGGTAGTAGGCTTATTCTAGAGGTTTCTGCAGAATTTCTGCAAGACCTAGACTCCTTAAAGCTCCGAAACCAAATCAACCACCAGTTCCAGATAAAAGAAAAGGTAGACAAACCTATAGTAAGGACAGCAAGCACTTCCTTTACTAAAAGGACCCTTATCCTCACCACAATGGACGGTATTCAGGCGCCTTATTTAATAGAGAAGCTGGATGTCTGGAAACCACTTATCCCCTATACTAAGTGGATGTTTGATGAACCATGGGCAAAAATAGTTATTCACATGGTCCCCACCAGGCCTTTTGAAACCCAAGAAGGCATGCAGATGCTCAAGGAAGAGATCGAAATCTTTAACCCAGGTCTAAAACTAATGAGGCCCCCAACATGGCTGACCCCAGAACATGTCCGCGAGACCAAAAATCACTCCTCTATTGTAGTGGACGTGCAGAATGAAGCCATGGCATCCAAGGCAATTAAAAATCAACTCTGTGTTGCAGGAGCTTTATGTAGAGCTACTAAATATATAGAGAAAACTGCCCAATGCCAAAATGCCAAGGATACAAGCATATTGCCAAATACTGCAAGAATAATCCAAAATGCGCTATTTGCGCAGAAAGGCATGAAACCCAATACCATGAATGTTCCACATGCGAAGTAAAAAGCCAGGAATGTCCCCACACACAGGTTAAATGCGCTAATTGCAATCAAGCCCACAGAGCAGATAGCAAAACTGCAAGGAATGGGAAAAAGTCAAACCAAAACCAAGGCCTAGGCCTACAGAAAGACCAATCCCAAACAGTAACATGGAATTAGATTACTAATGAATCAGAAAAACACTGATTTAGGAATCTATTTCCTGCAAAATAATACTGGACGCAATCAGAATGCTATGTTATCTTGCTTAGAAATAGGCCTGGAGCTTAATATCGACTTTATTATCATCCAGGAACCATGGATAGCGCCTGATAATAGCTTTACTATATCCCACCCAGCATACACCCCAATCCTCCTGAGCAAACCAAGGTTAGACCTAGAGTAGCAATCTACCATAGAAAGCTATCTAGGTTTAATTATTGCCAAAGAAACGATATTAGCACTGATAGTGATTTGCTGGTAATAGATATCTTAGGTGCAGAAATCCAAGATCTGCAGCTAATAAATATATATAACGAGCAATCACTAGAGGAAGGCGCCGAGTGGACAATAGAAAGAGCCCTAGCTAGGGTTACCCCCCTCCACACATGCAGTAATAGGGGGACTTTAATGCACACCATAGCTGGTGGAACTCAAAGACATTATCACCTACCAGGGCTGATACTTTGATTAAATGGCTTGAAGAACATCAATGTGAACTGCTAAATAAACCTGACCTGCAAACATGCCATAGAAAAGGAATGAGAAATGTCTCTGTTATTGACTTAACCTTTATTACCAAAGGTCTAAATCAATATAGAGTAAATTGGGAAATTGACCAAGAACTCGCCTCGGGATCAGACCACGAAATTTTGCTTTATTCTGTTGAAGTAAAAACACAAGAAATTGAAAACCCCTGGTCAGTTTACCATATAACCTAAAATGGCAAATTGGGCATTATTCAGCAAGAAAATCCTCGAGCTAGATACAAGCCAAGAATTCAGACAGGGGAGCTTTAATACCGATATAGAGCTAGAAACCGCAGCTCTAAATCTGCAAGAAATAATTCAAATAGCTGCAGATGCTAGTATCCCAAGAAGAAAACCATCTGCCCAGTCAAAAGCATGGTGGTCAAAGGAACTTAAAATACTAAGGAAACAGCTTGGAAAAGCTAGAAAACTTTGGAAAAATAACCCATGTCCAGAGCTCTACGAAAATCTTCTAGAGATTAAAAATCAATATTTCCGGGAGATTAAGCAAGCTAAATCCGCATGCTGGAACAAATTCCTAGAAGAAGCTCGGAACAGGGAGATTTTCAAAGCTTTTAGCTATACTAAAAAGAGATCTGTTCAAAAACTGCCTATCTTGACCTATTCTATAGAGAATCAAGAGAAGCAAGCAATCTCCTTTCAAGATAAATGTCATGCATTTCTTTCCACCCTGTTTCAAAACCCCCGGAGGCTAAGCCCATTGAGTGGCCAACCAACCAGGCAGAGTCAACCAACTGGCCAGAAACCAGGGAAAACGAGGTGTACACTGCTATCTTTAGTAGCTCTACAAAAAGGCTCCTGGACCTGATGACATCTCATTCTTAATTATTCAAAAGGCTTACCAAAATATTGCTCCGAGATTCCACGAGCTTTATAAAGCCCTAATTAGAAATGGTTATCATCCCAAATGTTGGAAAACTGCCAAAGGGGTTATTCTTAAAAATCCGCGTCTGCTAAAAGGGACTACTCCAAGCCCAAGGCCTACAGAGTTATTTCCCTGCTTAACTGCCTAGGCAAGGTAGTAGAGAAGATTATTGCAACTAGGCTATCTTATCTAGCTGAACTCCCGCAATCAATCCTTTACCATGACCAAATGGGGGAAGAAAAAGAAAATCAGCAATTGATATAGCACTATCCCTAGTCCATGACATAGAGGTGGCAAAACATAATAAAATGGTTACTACAGCTCTTTTTATAGATGTAAAAGGAGCTTTTGACCATGTATCTACCAACCAGCTACTTAGAATATGTCTAAAACTAGGTCTTCCACATAACCTGATCCGGTGGATCAAATCCTTTATGTCGGACAGGAAAGTGTTCCTAGCTTTTGACGGTGAAACCAGCAACGAGACCCCAGTGCAAGTAGGGATCCCCAGGGATCACCTATATCACCCATCTTGTTCCTTATATATATTAGAGAGCTCTTTCAGCTTGAAATGTATGAGGAACTAGATAGTGATACAAGGAAAGCCTTTGGAAATACCCGAAAGCCTAGCTATATGGATGATATATGCCTTACTATTAGCTCTAATAGCCTAGAGAATAACTGCAGGCAAATAGAGCTGGTAGCCAATGCCATGTTTAAAAAAGGAGCCAAAGACCATATCCAGTTTGACCAGGATAAAATAGAGCTTATTCACTTTAGCTCTAAACAACCAGACCAAGAAAACCAAGACATCCAGGTTAAACTAGATAATAATATCATAGTTAAACCAAGCCCTATGGTAAAATGGCTAGGAATCTACATAGATTCTAAACTCCTTTTCAAAGAACACGTGCAAATACGAGTTGCAGCTGCAACTAGGGCATTTCACCAAATA